CAGAGTAGACCCGCACCGAACCCCGGTATCGCGGGAGCCCTGGGACGAAGTAGCCCCGGTAGCCCCCTCTCTGGTCCCCGGTAGCCCGGTTGCCCGGTAGCGCGGTAGCCTGGTAGCCCCCCCTCCGGCTCCTTACCTTGTTCGTCCGTTGCAGTGAGAGTCCGCCATCTTGCCATTTGAACAAATTTAAATCACTCTGGAATTTGTAAAAAAAAAAATCAGGGGTTTTCAAAACATTTAGGGAAACTCCAGATGGGAAAACAAGTAAAAGTTGCAAAATGACATTTAGTCTTAATCTTAATTTTAAACTGTAAACAAGGAAAAAAGTACAAGTAGCTTATAACTGTACTTATAACATAGAATGATATGACTGTTTTAAAAATATAAAGTAAGATTTAGGGGGACATTTTCGCTTTAGGAATGCTTTTATTGTTGAATATGTTTCTGTCCTTGTACAAACATTTAAAATCTCAGCACTTTGAGTCAGACTGTCTGACTCAGAGTGCTTGTCAGGGGTTTTTCTCAAATACAACATTCAGCACAAATATTAACAATTGTAAACATAAAACAACTCCACATTACATTGCACTAATTAGATATTACAAAGCTTGCCACTGCTTTTCTGACTGATGCTGAGCCCAGTTCTGTTCTCTACTTTTGCTTTCAGCATATTCATCAGCGCACACACTAACCAGTAGGATGACTAAACATTTAGGTATGGTCATTTTCATGGGACAGAAAGATGTTTGGAATTATTTATTGTGTGCAAAAGTTCTAAAAAAGCCTTTAAGAGAATGTTTTCCTGGTACAGCTATTGAAGGCTCAAGAGTAGCAAAGAACAATGAAACCCATACAACTTAAATCAATGTTAAACCTTTTCTAATGAATATAAAGAGAGAGAAATATATATCTAAATAATTTGTGCTAAAGACATCAAGTTATCCCAATACACATTGCTGGAGATGGCATTGATTCACATTTCATTTGGAATTCTTCCAGGCATCCCGCATTTATTTTTTATACCAGTTGGTGAGATATGAAATGTGCCATTTTACATTATCACGTCTCTGCTTCTTCCACACTGTTGTTCACATGGCATAAATAGGCACAAAAACAAAGTACGTAACTTTTAAACTGACGATTATACGCTTTTAATCCAGGCGCCGGCAGGGGGCGCTGTGTCGCGCAGGCTCACCGGAAGCCTGTCCTGCGCATGTGCAGCAGGACTAGTTGGTGGCTCTATAGACATGTATGTCTATGACAACTGTACACCTCCATTCAGCTGACTGTGTTACGGCGTTTGGTTTCATAACTAACAACAGAAAAGAAAGGTGTAGCTCATCAAAGCCTTGTCAAGCTTGTGGGCAAACTGGGATCTGCGGGGAAAAAAACGATCCCAGCACAACACCGGCTCAGGTTCGCCCTTAAACTTTGGGTTCGTAGCATGTGGCTCTCAGCCGGTTCAATGTGAAGCTGTACGCGGGATTTGTACACACAGATAAACGTCAGATGTTAAGTCATCCCTAGTACTTAACGATTCCAATTGGTTTTTGCTTCTATAATCTTGAAGGCTAAGCAGGTATTTCCGCATAAAGCTAACTGCTAAGCAGTTAGCCGGAGTAGCAGCTGGACAGTCAATGTCACAGCATGGACTTCTATCCTAACGGACTGTGGGAATCACTGTCCTGCTGACCAGTTAAGCGACGCGATTGAGTCCGATTAGATCGTTTTGCTGCATTTCTTTTTGGTGCATCTGTTGATCGATCAGCATCTGTTATCTCCGCGTGAGTTTTAATCAAGCCCATCGACGTCACTGTGGGTTCATTAAAGCACAATTACAGCTGATCAGTTTAAGAAAGAGCCAGTGGAGTTTTTTAATGCCATTAAAATAAATTCAGGGCATAAAGATCTTTTAGTTTCTTGATTCATTTGCACAAATCTGTAAAAGATTTTTGAGGAAATGTGTATGAATTTAGATATGACATTGTGAGCATATGGATTTATACTGTAAATTTAAACAGTCAAGTTTGAGCTGAAACTAGCAAATATGAAGCCAAAAATGACTGTTATAAAATTGGCTTTTATATCCTATCCTAAGTAATTTCTCAGCAGCTTTTGATCAATGCTGATGTTCAAAATTGAAAAACAAAGGAAGACCCAGGTGAAGGAATTAGAAGACTCTTTTTGGTCACATTTGAAAACCATCTAAAGAGAAGAATGGACAGTAATCCATTTCCCCCATAAGATAGATTTGAATAATGTGCTTTTAATGTAATGTTTTTATACATGATAATAACTTTATGATACCAGTTATTGTTTCCTACAGACCAGAACAAGCCAGCAAAAATGTCAATCTTGTAAGCTTTTTATAATGAGTGAAGCCATATATCGAGGCCGTATAAATTATGCAGGCCTGCTGCCCTTTATTTGCCCAGCCATCTGCTGGGCTAGCATAAAAGATGGATGAGGCGTTATGCTTAGACGTAAGGTGTTTTATAGGAGCCAGTCATAGTAAGTTATGCCCGCTCAGAATGATCTGGCTGGAAGGAGCCTGTAGTCAAAGAGAGTTAAGTTTTCCTCAGGATTTTGATGGACTCTTCTTTCTCTAACCACAGATGATAGTGGTCCCTCCGCGGTTCGAAAACCATGCTTCCCCGGGCGGGTAAAGACTTTCTGGTCCGCATACGGTTCTCCTGGAGGCCGCTCTTCCAGGGCCGCTACCTGCTGCTCACCAACACCCTGAGCGGAGGAGTCATGCTCTCGCTGGGGGACATCCTGCAGCAGACCCGAGAGAACAGCAGGACGCCCGGCAGGGTCCGAGACTGGGGAAGGACAGGTGAGTGGGCGGGGGGGCAGTCCATCGTGTCGGTGAACATCTCAGCCCTTCATCCATCTCTCCACTCTCTTTTCTGAAGGTTTGAGCTTCCGTTAAAGAATTCTGAGGTAGTCTTTCTCTGTTATTGTGTCCAGTGTGAAAACAGAGTCACACTGAAAACATTAAAGTGTCCCTAGAGTACGAAGCCACCACCACAGTGGCATTTGGTATTCCGCAATTACTGGAGTTTGAATGCCTCTGCCGGGTTTCACAACACATACCTCTGAACGTTGTGTTAGATTTATATCAGAAGGGTCTATTGTTTGAGCCGTAGCCCTCAGGGAGGAGACACAGATCCATTCAAGCCCGAACCTGGAGACCGAACCACAGTTTGTACTCGCTCTACACCCCCCCTCCCTCTCCCCTCCAGCCAACCCCTTCCCTGTATTATATCCTCCTTACAAGTACAATAACTCACTCTCTCTCTTTCGTTCTCTTTCTGCTACCTCCTGTGAGAAGTCTTTATTCTGTCAACTTCTTTTTTTTACATGCCGAGTTCCAGTTTAAAAAGAAAAAAGATTTAGGGATTTCACTTGGATTAAATACGGTGTAAACAAGAAAAAGGAGTTTGGGCTTCTTTCATTATCTTAACCAGAGCAGAAAAGTAAAGGCGGGACATAAGAGATGACCTTTTGCATTTCGTTTCATTTCACTTAATTTCCTTTTTTTCCTGGGTAACCTTTGTTTTTTTCGCTACACATTTGGAAACAAAATATAGATTTAGCAACCACAGGGCTATACTTGAACCCTCCCCTCAAAATATATATATATATATATGTATATATATATGTATTTAAAGGAGCAAATTTTCTGTAGAAATACAGTATATGAGGTGAAGAAAGTCCAGTATTGCTGTGACGCTCATGGAGATAAGAGATGTGTGTAAAGATACAGCTAGAACAAGTGTTTCATTGTGTCACCTGTGCTCTGTTAATCTTTAAACTACTTCTTCAGATTTATACTTCATGAGTCAACGCAAGTCAGCTTGCATAAGAGGACACCGCTTGACATGAAATGACAATAAGGCATGCCTTGAGCGGTGTGTTTGCGCTCATTGTTTGAAGTTATTCTTATTTTTGCTGGTTTGCTGGTTTCCCCTGAAGGACGTATGTTTGTGGCCGGCTGCTCCATGGGCCCACTGCTCCACTACTGGTACATCTGGCTGGACAGAGTCTACGTAGGCAAAGCGCTCAAGACCTTAAGCAAGAAGGTTCTGGTGGACCAGCTGGTGGCCTCGCCGACACTGGGAATGTGGTATTTTTTAGGTAAGAGAGGGAGAGCAAAGGTCCCTCCTCCCTTTGTGTGTACACGCACAGCTTAATGGCAGACACACACCTAAGAAAGCGCGCGCACAGTCAAAGGTTGCGGGTGAGCCGTGCCGAACGCAGCGCGGATCTGACGTAAATGGAGTTCAAAGGACGTGTGCAGTAAACAGTTTGGCTGCGAGCGAGGTTTCTGAGAGCCACTCGTGTTTATAGGAGTTCAACACAGGCCTAGTTTCAGATTTTATCAGAGGCTGGGTCTGAAAATGGGTGGCACTGACGCACACTTGACGGACAACTTTGTCTATCGCAGGAATGGATCTCCTGGAGGGACGCACTTTATCTGAAGGATGGGCGGAGTTTAGAGGCAAGTTCTGGGAGTTTTACAAGGCAAGTACCCCCTGCTGGGATATGATGTCATACCTCTACAGTTCAGAGGGGATGGTCTAAAGGCACAACGAAACACTCGATTTGGGGAGGAAAAAAGCAACACGTGACACATTGGTTCAGTTTTTAATGCCAGAGCGGGAAAAATCCCAGACAAAACCCATTAATAGAAATCTCCATGAACCAGAAAATATTTTTCCCCCAGAGACTCATTATCTTTAGTATCATGTAGTAAATATGGAATATGTTGTAGTATCAACAAGTCTTTTAAAAGCTCTTTCATAAGTTGATTTTATTAGTTTAAAATTATTTAAGTGCTTTAATGTTTCTTGACACTTTGACACTGGGCCTCCTGTCACCTCCTTGAACCAGGAACCAGCCACCTTCCTCACCAGGAAGATATCGGACATGGCTGGAGTTCTTCCAGATTTGTATTTAAGGCATCCCAAAGTAGCCGCTGGGGCGGCTGCAAATGGTTTTCATCGCGGTGTAGAAAAAAAGACGAGCGGGAAATGCCTCTCACAGTTCAGGCAGAGTTTGGGTCTTTTTCCCCTGTGGAAAGTAACTTCTTTCACACAGCACATCCGACAAGCCCAAAGCCTCACGTCCCCGTTGTGTAAGCATCTTTACACTCTATGTACTTTCAACAGCCGCCGAGGAAGTTTGCTTTGAAGAGCTGTCTGGTTTTTTCTCGAGTCAGATCTGTTAAAACAAATCATGATCACTCGCCAGCGAGCGGAATCCGACAGAAAACACAACCTCTGAGCCGTGTTTTAATGAGCAGAGCTCTTCTCTCGTCTCGCCGACAGTCCGTGGACTGTTATTTGTTAAACCTCTGCTGCTCTCTCTCTCCGACAGGTGGACTGGTGTGTTTGGCCCCCGGCTCAGGCCATCAACTTCTACTTTCTTTCGCCCAAATTTCGTGTCGTGTACATCAATTTTATCACCTTAGGGTGGGACACCTACCTCTCCTATCTCAAACACAGAGTAAGTCAGAGAAGCGGCTTTTAGAAAAACATATATAATAGAGCAACTACAAAGTATTTGTTTTGCCTTAGATTTCTAATATATATAATTATGTCTTTTTTAAATAGTTTTGGCTGAATCAAAACCGCATTTTGAATCTTTGTGGATGCAAAATGAGAGACCAAAGTTGTTAGACTCTTCAGTTTAAAAAACAACCTTTAAAATTTTAAGCAGCCAGAGCCCAATTTATTCTTTTAATCATTTTCAGACAAATTAACCATGAATTATTCTACCTTTGAAGTTAAAGTGTATTGAAAGAAATTGAAAGAAAGAAAATATTTGTTGTCTCGTCCCTTTGGTCTATTATTTTCCTATTCGTTAAAAGAGAAGTGACAGCGATGGTTCTGGGATGTTCACTGGTTTCCGTTTGGTCCACAGGATGACAGCCAGCACGGTGAACTGGCACCCGACAGCGGTGCTGCAGATTCAAAGCAGGAGGAGCCGCCGCCGTCTGAGCCTGTGGAGACGAAGACCTAGATTCCATTCTCTCCCATCAAGACGCAAAACGTTTTGTTCCTTTTTTTTTTTCCTTTAGTTTCTGACGCTACGTCCTGATGCCACACTGTCGCGTGCGGCCGGCAGAGGCCACGTTCCTCCACCAGAGCAGTTCTGGATATTAACGTTCATGTTCCAAGGCACTTTTCTCTTCATGCCTGAATGACTTTCATGCATCTCTGTCCAGTTTGTCTATTTATATCTGAACGATGTGCACTCCTGTAGGATCATTCAGGGACAAAATGCAGTTTCACTGCCTTCAGCTACTGCACTCTGGAATCAGAAAATACGCACTGAGAACGGGCGGGTGGTCTCTTTTTTTTTTATCGTCATCCTTGTGCGATGTTGCATCCAAAGCTTAAAATTGGCTTTGTTGTCACTTTGTTTCTCTACTGTAAGAATCAGTCCTGAGAAATGCTTTTTCAAATGTCAAGCTCTTTTGACCTCTGACTTTGCCTTAATCCATAGTTTGGTATTTATATTATCAAATAATGTAATCTCTACCTATTGTGGTTATCCTGTTCAGGAACCTGTGAAGTGCCACATGATTGTCAATACTGTACAGTATTTATTTACTGTATTTGTCGCTGCATGTTAGAGCCTTCGTTATTCATCATATCAGGCAGAACTACCAGCCCTAAATCTTAAATACTGCTGAGTGAAGGGCCAAATAATCTTTTGTTAATTGTAGAGTGATCTTACACATGTTTTAAAACTGTACGAATATATATTTTCATCTAGAATATATGAATGCCATGTCTTTTTATTGGCCGGTCCAATGTTAGTGGAGGAAAGAAAACAGCAAGTGGGAATAGTTGTTTTGTCATCTCCATGTAAAATTGATTAAACATTATTTTATTAATGTATTTTTGTTATAATTTGAAAGTCTGTCATAAAAATAGATGAAAACATTGAATGAAACAGCCACACGCCTCATATGATTTATTCACTCTACATTGTATAACAGTCTTTTGCTTTCCATAAGATTAAAAAGGAGACATAACAAGATAAAATTGGAGATTGAAGAATGGGAAAAAAATGCTCCACATGAATTTAGATAAGAATAAATGCAGTGAGAAATGAGTGGTTGGAAAAGGGGTTTGGACTGCTGAGGATTAGAAGTTCTGTCGTTTGAAAGAGCTTCAGTCTGCATACATGAAGCTTTCCATGACCTGAGATCACCTGGATCATTTTAGGCCATTTAACCTGCTACACCTTTTTTTTTCCAAAAGCGAAAACTGATATTCAGCTGTCTGAAAGCAAGGCAAACACGCCGGGACCTTGTTCAAATATTTGATTAGCCTGTTGGATTTGATATGCTAACAGTCCATGTTGGGGGCACTCCTCCTCTTCATTGAACACATCCTGCTCTTAAGGATGTAGGTGCTGCATGTGTGTGTGGAGGAGTGCGTTTGAACGCTCCTGATGTGACTGACAGCCGTTTCCTCTCTCAACATGACTGCGGCGAAGCACCTCACAGCCCTGCTGTGCGTGTTAACAGTGACGGTCTGTGGCGGTGAGTAGACCTTTTTACACTTTTCTACCTGCTACATGAACATATTCTGCCAGTTGGCATCCCTGAGTGTTGTGTTGGAGATCTGAAAAGATGCAAATGTATGCAAACAGGAAGTGAAAGGCAAGTTCAGACAGATGGAATTGAGAGGGCGGCTGTTTCTCAGCAAGCAGGAAAGTGTTGTATTTGATCAAGTTCTGTGAAAAACATTGATATGAATAATGGTCTGAGGCCATAAAAGTTTTTTTTTAAAAGAAACATCCTTCCGTAACTGAGCAGGGAAACCTTTGCTTTGCTTAGCTGGACATAACATACAACTTAACGTTTGTCTTTTTTAATTTGAATCACGCAAATGTTTAGACTGTAAATAGCCTTGGTGAATCTAACAGGAAATGCGGGAGTGAATCCTTCTACCTCTCCTGTAAAAACTCTACTGACACCATATGTACACAGTGAAAGCAGACTGCTGGCTGTCTGTGTGCTTCTCCAAAAGACACATTTCATTACTGGCTCATTCAGCTTCATTAAACATGCTGTGTCAGCATTCCTTCTCAAATTCAAAGACAGATTGCAGTGACAAGGAAAGTCCTTAACATATGGCAAACACACACACACACACACTCACTACATGCTGCAGGGGGAGCTTTGATTGTGTTGCATGTTCTTCATCAAAAGTTAGTTCGGTTGTCATGACAAGATCTACCGAAGGGCCCTTTGAAACACAAGACGTTTCAGCCCCGGCTTCTCAGGCTCTTCCCTGCTCTTGTCTCAGGATGTTGGTACACAGGACGCACACGTGTCCTACTTCCGGTCTTTGTTGCACAAAATGTGACAATATGTGAAAAACTGCTGCATAAATTCAAAGTGAATCATGAGAGCGAGCCCAATCAGAGGAGAGAGGTTCGCAGAAGAAGCACCTTTAGTGTGTATAATGCTCTGAAATGTGTGAACACAGGTGATAAAACTTGGCTCGACTGCTCAGAGCCGCTGTGTTGTGAATTTTTTCTCTCCTTTGCAAGCAAGCTGATCGAAAATGGAGATGAGGTCATTGTTATCTCAAGTGTCCAGGACACAAATTCCCAGCTAGATATCTATCTACTTGCAGATGAAAATGTTAGCTATGTTATCTGCCTTAAAAATGCTGACAAGCCATCTTCTCTAACTTTATCTCGATCAGGTGAGAATGCAATGTATCTGCACATGGTTTTCATGCCCTTTTTTGTTTGTTTGTTTATTTGTTTTCTAGATGTCTCCCCGTCTCAGGATACTGTGAAAACTACAAGCGCTATAAGCCTCACCAGCTGGCCCGCTTCCTCCACGCTGAGCGCCACCTCTGGCACGCCACAGTCTCAGACTACGACACGACAAGTCACCACACAAGCTTCCACACTAACGCCCACAACAGAGGAACCTGCTCGCAGCACCGGTCCAACGACGGCAGCCACCACCAAGACATCAGAAGAGACAGTTACACAAGAACGGACAGTCCCAACAACATCACAATCACCAAACACCACCATCAACGTCAACACAACCAGCCCAGGGTGTAAGGGGTCAAAGCTGATTTATCCTTATTGTCTTGGCTTAATTTGTAGTAAGATTCTATCAAATGCAATCGTCTCCTGCTTCTGATTATGCTTTTTGGACATTGAGGTGCCAAATATCCTAAAAATTTCACGTTGAATGACTGGAACTTTCACTTCATTTGCTTTAATCGTGGAAGAAGCCAGATGTAGTGGGAAAGTGTGGGACTCTATCCATAGGCTAGCAGTAAAATGACAAAGCTGCTTTTCCTGGCAGGTTGCCAGATATTATCTTGACATCATCAGCAAGAGTGATGCAGTTTTATGTCACTTTAAAGGAAAACTACTTTCACACAGACCAAGCGTGGCCTTTTTACCTCTATTAAAAATACACTGTTTTTATTTGAAGCAGCCAGCATCAAAGGATCTAAACATTTCCGCAGAGATAAATGTCTCGTTGCATCGTGCATCTGCAACACCAAAGGCAGAGGATTAAGGCAGGAGATACAAATCTATATCTATTGTCGTGCGTGTCAAATACTAGCTTACGAGGCTGCAATAGGAAATTATTAACCTCAGAGAGAAAGTTCTTTCTGTCTGTTTTTCTTTGTTCTTGGATGTCAGGAGAGTCACAATAATCTTAACTCCACAAAATCATTAACCAAGATACAACCAGATACATTTAGCAAAGAAGGGATCTATTTTTGCTCTAGATAATGCGGCCGTCCAGCATCATGTTCCGGCAGCTGCTGTGTGGCATAAACTTTGCTGTGTCAGGAACGACTGGTGGAAAACTTTGGCCTGCTCATTTAAATCCATCGGCTCTTTCAGATGGCAGAGGATCGGGGGACCTGGCAGCTAACCCCGGCCTGGTGGCCGTCATCTGCATCTTCTGCATCGTCCTGACTCTGGTCCTGGTGGTCCTGAGTGTGAGGTGCATCCGATCGCCCGGTGCCAACTTTGAGAGGCTGGAGGAAGTGTCCCTGGTAAGCCAGAAAACACTTATATCGATTATAGCCATTCAACTGATTATTGATCATTTCAATCTGATTTCAGTCTTTATCTAACTGATTCGCATTTGAACTGAGAATGTTTATGTAATTGAATAAACTAAACTCACAGAACAATGAATGGACTTCAATTGATGGATGACTCAGTGAGGCAAGTGGAATCTGTCCCCTAACAATTCATTGTGCAACATGAAATGTTTCAAATATTTTTCCAGTTCATTCTGTGATTTGACAGTCAGTGCTAATGATTATTAAGGATTGCATTAGCAAAGCGATGAGGGATGCATAAAGCTCTGCCCTGTGATTCTGTTGGATGAGGTCGACTGTTGTCGGTTATTATGTAGAAACTGCACGACAGGAGGAAAGAATGATGCTGGGAACTACGCAGTCTTTGAACTATCGTCTCCCGCGGTTCAAATTTCAGTCGTCAAGTGGTGTTTTCTTCCTTTTTCCCTTCGGCAGCGAGCGCGGTGATTTGCTGCTCTCCCTTTTTACGCAAACAGGATGTCTGACTGAAATGCCAGCGTGTGAAAACGTTAACAGCACATTGTGTGTGCTTCACATGTCATGACTAAGCTTTTCTTTAGAAGTGAGGGCTTATCATAAGCCCTCCATCCGTTTGGCGACAGGTATTTGGACTCCATCAGCATCCTGGAGAGTTCAGATGCCGTTTCAGGTTAAGGAGTGATCAAGAACTTCTCAACCAAACGAAAACAACTGCTGACTCAGAGGGAAAACGCCTTGAATTTACAAGGGCCGCAGCTCCGTGATCAACTGATGATCATGTCTGTGGATAAAGTGTAACAGTCAGACTGGTAGCTCAATGACACCACGTGGACAAGAGAAAGAGCATAAATGAATTATGTAGAATTAATACCTCTTAATAGCACAAATATGTGAGAAGCTGCTGCCTGGTTTGCACCAGACTGCTATGTTAGGGAAAATCTTCGTCATAAACATACAGCGGCTGCAAAGCGTTTCATAACGTATCGCTGGACCAGGGTGCAATAGAGAAAGAGTAACGAGCCGGACACATAGCCTACAATGAGCGAGGAAAGCAGCTGATTTTGCAAAAGGGCCATGTTATAAGGGAAAGAAGGCTGGCATGGTAAATAAACGACGAGGCAGCTGTTGAAAATGGCCAGCTGTATGCCCTCGGCTAGAAAAGACGACGTGTGTGTGTGTGTGTGTGTCGGTTGGATGTTTTTACGCGTGGCTACTTGATGACCTATTTGTTTCCTTTGCTTTGTTTATGTTAATAAGGAGAGTTTCTGTTTGAAAAAAAGAAAGAAAAAGAAAATGCATACCAGCTGAAAAACTCATCCAAAAGTAAACACATTTTTGCCTAACATGTGTTTTCCCAGCTCCAGGGAATCAAACCCATTTTCAGATTTTTGACCATTTTACAAGATTCCTATTTGAGGCCGATTTGGGTGAGACCCACATTTGAATATAAAGCTTATACACCATAGATTATTTTCATAAAATTAGGTTATGTAATTGGTTGTTTTTCTTGGTTTGCAAGATTACTCTTAAAGTGAAGAACAGATTTATACAGATTTTTTTTCCAATGTTGCCGTAAATCAAAGGTGATGGGTGCACTACGTGGAAGTAATTAATCTTCGATGTCTATTTGAAGAATTCGAATTAAGGTATTTTTTCAGCTGTGGTATGCGCTTGTGGTAAGATTCCTAATACCACCCTTGCTGCAGAGGTCAGCAGTTTTTCCCCTTTACAGTGACCTCTCCTCGGTTTGTTGTTTCTCGTTCTCTAAACGATTTTGAAACGGGGCGTCATGATGCCACGTTGGCTGAGGTTCACCATAATTGGCTTGGTCGTTTTTTTCATTCCTCCTGTCTCTCCTTTCTCCAGGGCAAAGTGAATGAAGAGTCTCCGTTTGCGCATTATTCAAAATGACATCAGAGGCTTCACGGGACACGGAGGACACAGGAGGAGGGCTGTCCGCTCTGCCACTCCGAGGTTTCTGGCCAGAAAAGCGCAGGAATGTTTTCCACAACAGCCAGCAGTGACTCCAGCTTCAAATACAGACTCATGCTCCTTATATCTATTCATAAATACATTTATGAATCTCCACTTTATGGGACAATAATGGATGTTTCTTTCCTATAGCACTTTTGTCAAAGCTAGTAGTAGACTTTTGCACAAGCTTTGACCTGTTCACTTTGCTGCTGGTGACCAAATTGAATTAGGTCTGAAGCAAAATCAAATTATCGCGCTGGTTCTAAAAATATGACATACATTTTCGGTTTCATTTATGATTTTTGTGTAACTTTACTGTTTAATTTGAGCGTTCAAAGCAAAAATGAAGACACATTTCCTGTTTTGAAGGTGTTAAATTTATCTTATGAGAGTAGTTTGTGTAATGCATAGCTAATATTTTCTTTGGAGTGAGATAATTCTCAGGTACCTGAAACGGGGCCTTTGCTGCCCTGATCAACTTTCCCTTTCCTTCTGATTATTCTTAATCTGCTCCCCCTGTAATTTATGTGAAAGTAAAAATGGTTTCCTTGCAGAAAGATGTGTTCAGGAGTTTATCCATATCTAATCTGAGGTGTGAGTCATGGAGACTCTTGTCAACTTCTCATCTGAAACAGCTTTTTTCCCCCTGACCTCCTTTTAGCTTGTTATCATTCTTCCAGTTACATGTTTTCAACCATCCAAAAGTGATTAACCCCACGCGTAAAATGAGTCCTCGCACTTTCGTTTCCACATGTGACAAAGGTGCTGTTTGTAGCTCTTTAAATAACCAGCATGTGAGTGGGCATATTTAGACATTTATACCGGTGATTTCCGCTTGTGATGAATCAGTGCTGGTTTGTCAGTGGTGTCCTCTTTATTAAGTTTCCACACCACCTCAGACAGCTGTAGAGTTCATAGCTGTAATGTTTACAAAAGAATAAATGATGAATTTCTCTCTCCAAAATGTTCAATTTAGAATTTTCCCAGTTCTATTAGAATTGCTGCATCGGGTTGAAATTTTTCAAATATTTTAGCCGATGTCAGAGGAGTGGCCCAACAGCCTCCCGCAGCCTGTCGTCCACCCCCTCATGTGAACGTGGCATGTTTTCCCGCTCAGTGGGAGATAAAGCACCGTGTCTGCGGGGCTTCTTGGTGTCAATTACTCCAAAAAGAGTGAAACCGGTAAAATGACTGTGGCCGAACTGGTTGAGGGCCTGCATAGGGGTGTGTGAGCATGGGTCTTTGATCTTGTGGTCATTACTGAGACACCTGGGAAAAAAACAAGATGGGACAGGCAAATGTATGATACAGTGGCTCACCCCATAGAGGGTAAGGGTGGGGGATTTCCTTTTAACTAAGACAGAAATGGGGTGTAGAATTGCTGGACTTCTGAATGTATTGATAGTAATGTAAAGGGAGACTTTAACTTCATTTTTTTTTTTTAAATAGTGCCTGGGTTTTTTTTATTTTTTTATTCCGACAAACAGTTTTTTAAAACCTATTATTACTATTATTTCCTATCATTACTTAGATAAATATCTTCTTGACATGTTTTACCACTTTGGTTTTGGTCAGAGTTCAGTCCACAGCTTTTTCTGCTTGTTTTATTGCGCTCCATTATGAGCATAAAACCCCAAAACGGACAGTTTTCCCTCAGGAAAAAAAAAGGTGGAGGGGGAAAAAAAAGCCTCTGATAAGTTTTCTGGGCCAGGAAAAGGGACGGATAAGGAAACGTGCAAAGGTGTCCGTGCGTGAGCGTGCGCGTGGGTGTGCCGCGCGGACTGCGCTCCGCGCAAAAACAAAGGACAAGAGAACCGAGGGGCGCACCTCGTGCGCCACGGCGTAGTAAAACTGTTTACTTGCCAGTGGTACACTTCCTGTCATGTGGCCAGGTCGCCAACGTCATCGTGACGGCACCGGGCATGCAGCCCTGCAAGTTGCAGAGTTTGAAGTCTAAGGAGACAACTATTAACCGCCGCAATAAAAAAATGGGAAAAGGCGATAAGTGCGGCAGGGTTACATGACCAACACCTCACAGACGGACAACCCCGAGAGAGGGAAAGAGAGAGGGAGAAAGAGAGAGAGAGAGAAGACAGCCGGACGATCCGGTGAGTGAAAAGAAGTCGATCAAATTTGCCTCCAGACTTTTAAAAAACTGTGATGGGACGGAAGATGCGATCCGATCGGAAGCTCGCGTGTTTAAAAGGCTCCGTTTTCCAGAGAAAATGTGACGAGAAATCCACAGAAAAGGGCAGATTTCTCTGTCAGACCTGCTTTAAAAGAGTCTCTGTCACTCAATCGTCTGTTTTCTGGAAGATATTTCCATTAAAATGTGCCACGTACCTCTGTGGAAGTTGATGGTGCTCATACCAGCAGACTCGTTGTAATATAATGTTAGAATGTTGTTAAAAGGATGTTTATGTCAGTTGAATCCTCGCGTTCAAGTTTGTTGTTTATTGCTCTTAATTTTGTTGGACTCGTGAAATAGCTCATCTCCATGAGTAAAGCAACATGGAATGTATCTCCCCAAAATATTTACGCATCCCCCCCCTTATCTCCTTCCTTCCTCCATATCTGTTTCCTTCACTCCTTCTTTGTGACCCCAGACAGACACAAAGTCTCCTCATTGTTTGACAAAGACAGGTCTTCTTTATTTCTGTTTCTTTCTTTTCCTTTTTCTCTTTGACCCACATAGTTTTATGTCCACATCCATTGGACGTATTGTCATTTACTGATGTTGTTTGATAGGGTTCTGTGATTTTGTGAACTTATTTCTTGCAAAAGCTTTTGATGATTTTGTTTTGTGGGTATGAGAAAAGTGCGTGTTTTATTTGTGCACACTTCAGCATTGTTTTAAGGCCATCCTGTGTGAAAAAAAAACACAGAGCTGGCAATGCTGAGTGTAACATTTTTACCCGCCTTAACTTTCATTAGATCAGTCTCTCATCTGTGCTTGTTTCCTTCTTCTAGTTGTGATCTTATCTTTTCAGAAGTTTTAGGTTGAGAAAAACTTGTGTCAGCACACCAGTGGGTCTTTTTGTTCTCCGTCTACCCTAAATGAGCCTTCCAGGTGAATCTCGTTCACTGTTTTCTTTCACACTCAGAGAGGAATTTTTCAAATTTGGACGGGCCCTAAAAGATTGGCACTAGTTTAAAAAGTCTTTCAGTCGGACCCGTTTCTCTGCTGTGAGAGACTTCCTCAGTACGATCACGTCCATTCAGAATAAAACAGCCAACCGTCCCTTCTGCGTCCACTGGATGGCAGGCTGCTCCAGTGCTGAGTCGGCTCTCCTCCTGCTTTTTGTTCATTACCTTCCATGAGCGTTTGAAAGCCTAAATCTGCCTATTTGGTCTGTGTTAGTAATCTTACAGCAAAGGGGCATTTGGCTTGTCACTGACTCTGAAAAGATTAATAACAAGATGAGATTGTTTGGCAAAATGACAACAGTGTTTGTTGTTGTTTTTTACTGGAATTTACAGACTTGAATCAATTACTTGAATGATTTCAGAGCACTTATTGCTTTAAAAGTTAGAAAGGTAGGGCTTAACTACTTTTGTAATTAAGCATATAAATTACAATTCGGAACTGAATGAATCTCAGTTTTTTAATACTTGTATAAAACCTTCACAGCCGGAGTTTGCCCGTTTGCTCAAAAGACTTTATTAAGTGATGACATTTTTTATTGATCCCTTTTATTAAATTATACTGTTGGGGCAGTTGGAATAAATGTTCTTTAGTTCTCTTTCATAGAGGCGTAACTCTGAACCGACAGTTCCAACTGCTTCATTCCGTGTCCCAGCCAGCAGCAGCCGCCCCTGGAGCATCGATAATGAGAGCTATGATTCGCTGAGGTGTGTGGTGGAGGTCGTGAGTCACGTTTTCTCCGCGTCTGTGCGTGGGGCTGCAGTGAGGGCTGCTTTTGGACGTCTCGAAGGTCTTATCAACTCGAAAACAAGCCTATCGGCTATCTGCTGCGTGTCACCGTGAATGAGGTATCGCAGGACGCCTCAGGCGGTGGCTTTATGGTAGGGCTGATGTAGGGAACTCAAGAAGCACGCCGCCCCTCCTGTGGTTAATCATCACCGTCTCCGTCGTGTCCGAGGGGCGGAGGGCTCAGCTCAAGACGGCGGCACGAGACGGTTATCTTTCTGGTGTTTTTTTTTACTGGCTGTTAATGCCGTTTCACAGCAGTCCCAGAGAGCTGAGAGAACCCAGAAAAAACTTTAGAGAGATAGATTACTTTATTCATCCCCGAAGGGGAAATTTAGTAACTGGAATCATGCAAAAGAGAGGGAAGGTTTCAAACTACTGAAAGGACATTTGTACAAGTGGCAGAAAAACAGTGGGAGGGAGATCATGATGATATGCAAACTTGCTCTTCAATAAAAGAAAAAGAAAAAGCAACAAACAACAACTCCCCATAAAAAGTCCCCTAAAGGGTGATACTGCGGCTGTCCTTTGGCTTTTTGAGCATCTTTTTTTTTTTAAATATTCGCTATACAACCTTCCCAGTGCCTTTTTTAAATGAATCGATAAATATAAACTCACAGCTCACTGATTGATCCTGTCAGCGAACCCCTCTTAAAGCACACATAATGAACAAATGCGTCTATTAATAATAACCATGAATCACACCGCCGGCATCAAGCCACTAAATAAAGCAGCCGTGCATAAAGCTGATGGCGAGAAGTGAGTGGTGACAATTACTGAGGTCATTTGGAAGATTTTTGCCGTCGATGTCGCACTTCTGAGAAACCCAGCATCCCCGTCCCACAGCAAAAGTCAGCTCCCGTCAGAGCAAAGGCAAGCTGTCATTATTTTGAGAAATGATAGGCCTGAAAACAACCAGACCGAAATGTCCAAGTACACTCTGAATGGTGGTTTTGAAAATTTGAAGATATGTGACTTATAGTGGAGCATTTCAGGGGCCAAAGTGCTTTTAGACCAATAAGAAGTCGGTATTTGACTGGAAGAAAAGGAGTTGTAGGATGTCATCAAACTGTCAAAAGATTCAACTATTAGGAAAGCTTCATACAGCATTCTGTGTCCCAGCTAAGAATGAGTTTCAGCTCAACTCCTGACAGGTCGATCACAGGTTCCTTTTGCACCAGACGTCATGAATTGTCCTAAAGTCAAAAGATTTTGGCTTTTCTTTCTGAAAATTGAAACCTTCCTCACTTGTACCACAGATAATGTTGAATGACTCAATACCTGCTTCTCCCATTTGTCGGTTCAAATGGGAACATGAAAAGGCATTTGATAGAAACTATATTTATATAACTATATTTTCCAAATTTTGAACATAAAACTTAAAGTTAAAACTTAAAAAATATCACACCATTCAGTTGAAGCTACGGTCAATTAGCAACTGGTAATTATGGAGCCATTTTCCACTTTGTCACATACTGTATCGCCACACACAGAGTGCACAACCATAAGTGCCCAGATTAAGCTTTTTTTAAAAAAAAAAGAAAATCTTCACAACACATGTTCACTTTAAATTCTCTCTTATAATGAACCAGATAAAACCAGCATCACTCCCTTGCTTTGAATTCCCTGTTGACTGGGTAGACTGTTCAATCAAAAGCACCGAATAGGACACTCGTCCTAGTACAAGCCGTGTTGTCACACCTCACTGCGACAGCTGTGATGCGGACAGGTTGTCAGTGTGTGACGCAGCCGTCAGGGTTGCAGGCCCTCTGTTGGTTGGATGGGTGTAAAAAGCAGCACTCAGGGGGACGATGCTCTTCATGGAGTGTCTGTGTGTTTCGCTGTCACATACTGGAGAAATTGCGGGCCATTTAAATTCAAACGTATTCTTTTAACGTTCAGTTTGTGGTCGTTCTGTCTCCACAGGCATATTCACAACCAGGGACAGTTGTGATAGCTTAGATTTTGTGAGTCTGTGTCGACTTAGAGATGTTTGAGGAAGGCTTCACAATAAACAAACCAGCATTTTA